TTACAATAATGTAGGTACTTACGTTTTTTTCGTGTCTATTTACTCAATTGATATTGATAAACTCATAAACTGTTTCGATTTTTAACTTATAGTGTGGATTCTGATAACAAATTCGATTTGTTGGTACTTTTACGAGATCCGAAATGAAAATTATGAATATTTTTCAAAATAATCGAATAAAATTTCATTCAAAAAAACGAGTTAACATAAATACTTAGAATGATCAGAAAATTGTTTCGTTTCATATTCTGTATGAATATTGATAAAAATTTTAAAAATATAATACAAGGTGTAAGATTTATCATACATWATTATTATATTCATTTAAAAATATTAAAGATAATTTAGCACGAATTTTTTTATGTGATTATTTTAAGTCAAAATTGTCGATAAAATATGTTGAATATATTTTATGATATTTAGCTGACGATGCTGRCAGACTATAAGTACTGACTCAAAGGCTTATAAGTTTAACAATAGTATTAATGTATTATATGATATAACATATAAATATATACTATTATAGTAATTAATGATATAATAAATTCAATGTTTTCGATAAAAATTAATTCGACGTATCTCATTACTAAAATTTGAAAKCTGACATTTTAATATAACTGTTCCGTTATTATTTGTTCATGATATGTGTCTAATGTRCTATATCGTATATTTTAATGTGATAATAACACTGCAGATTATACATTATTATTCGGGATTACGGTAGTTTATAATTGATAATATATCATATATTATGTACATTATAAAATTATAGTAATTAATATAGGTAATTAAAAATAGATGACGCCTGATATCGTTTAAGTTTAATAACATTTATAATCATCATCAAATGTGTATTTTAAGAAAGGATAACACACTGGCATTAAAAAAAAAAAAAAAACATTATAGCTAACTAAATATTTGGATGATAGACCATTTGTAATACATTTACTCATAGAATCGATCTAAATGTAAAAAATACTAAACCTTGACGTATGTCGAATACTCGTATAAACCTAAATCGAAATAGGTTATAACCTAAATGTTTAATAAATTAATTTGTAAGCATTTAACCAATATTGTTCTTACAGAAATACTTAATAATTTTAATAGTTTAAATGTAATATTATTAAAATGTATTTTGATTTGTATAGTGGCGAATTAACGGTYGTTTAATCGGAAACGGGAAAATTCATATGTTCTTTTAACTTTAAGTGCCCATTATTGTTTGAAATGTAGGTCATTGTAAAAATGTAATTGTAGGTGGTTATACAAAATGACTAATACACATTTTTTTATTGCCACAAACTTGTTTGAATATTATCAAAACAGTTTGTTATTTATCCTTATTCATTAGGAAATTAATATACCGATGGCTTCTTTAAACTTTAAAGTACCCACTAAAATCTATATATAGTCTCCTAAACACTTACATAAGTAGAGATAAGAAACTTTCAAATGTATTTTAGTATTTTCATACTTTATTATTAGGTAGCAATAAAGTATAGAGAAAGAAAAAAATTTTTTTACACTTTCATAAAAATACAAAAATTATCAATAGGTATAATATATGTAAAAATATGCTAGGTTTATCCTGAAATCTAAATCATAATTACATACATTTATTACATTTTAACAAATATAATATTAAGGAATGTCTTWCATTGGWAAAATACTTAAATGGTTACTTACTTTTTTATGGGCTTTTGGTACCTAACCTGCAAATATTGTGATTAGCATATTATAGATATTACATAAAAAGTTTAGGCTTTGTGTACATATTACAGATTTAAAATTGTTAATAAATACGTTTTTATAACGTAGGTAGGTAATTATAAGTAATTTCTATTTCTATTTTTAATGACTACTTATTAATAATGTACTTAATACAGAGATTAGGTTCTTCATGTAAATTTGTTAGATTCTAAATAGGTATGTATATATCTAACATAATATATAACTTACCCTAGCTATATGTATTGATTAAATTGATGTGAGTTGTTTTATACAACATATTATATACTGAATACGAGAATCTACGTGAAAATGATAAAAATGTACATAGGTACTAATTACATAAAATGCATAATTATAATAATTACTTCGATATAATTAGTGAACACGTTCTCGTGACCATAAAAAAAACTTTTTCCAGTAGGTACAAGCATTTACCTATGAATGAACAAACAATTCCACCGTAAAACCGTATATTAACACTAGTGTATATATTATAATATCTATTTATATCAACAATTATTATGAAACAAAATATACAATACAATTATTGTCTCCGTGAGATCACGTATGTTTTAAAATCAACTCTGATGATTAGGGTATACTGTTTGAGTATAGGTAGATAATGTGTTGAAAATGCCGATCAGGAGCGTACAGAGGAAGTTTTTATTGAGGGGCTAAAGTAAGTAGTTTGGCCAACTCTAAAAATTGACCCGTGATAACTTGGATAGTTTCGAGGTAAAAYCAATAGCAAATTGTGTGTACTAAAAACAAAAAGTAAATGGAAAAACGTATATTATTTTGTTATGAAAATTGTTAATTTTCTTATAAACATTTTCATCATTATCATTATTMTTCTCTTTTTTAGAGTTGCCTATTTTTGAGCCATTTCATTTAAAAAAATTGTATCAATTGTATCATCTATACCGAATCTTTTTCAGAAGAAAGCAACATCAAATTGTTTAATTTAGAGTCTTCTTAGGTTGTTCTTAAATAGTTTTTTGTTAACTATTTTCAATTTGATAAATGGCCTTTCATTGTCAGCAGTACCTAAGTCAAATCAACATATTATAATAATAACCAAATAAAYATAACGTAATGTACAATTAATAATGTAAATAATATACAATCAATTATGGTGGCCGTTAGCCTGCAGCACTGACTACTGAGTACATATAATATACATATAATAAATAGTTGCAATAGAACCACGAACATTGGGGTTTATAATCACTATATATCATCACTATATATTATTGATATTATTGACGCATTCACGCACCAAAAACAGTTAATAACTCATTTTTCTAATAGTAGGTAATTCTAATTTCTAATCCAGTGTTATTACTTATTAAAATATAATATATTACTTATTGACCACTCTACCACCACTAGGTTCACCACTGGTGYCCATCATTGAATAAGTCATTGTAATGTAATAAGTATTAAAATTAAATTCAACAATACACCATTGTATTCATATGATAACAATTATGAGCGGAGATCATCTGATTGCCTAAGTATACAAGGTGATCTTTAAAGCATATGCTCGTTGTTCATCCTATTTTTATGCTTAAATTATGGATATCTATATATTCAAGTTCTGAGTTTTTGAATTTTTATGTAGATACATTTGAAGACTATAAATTTGAATATTAAACATTTGGCCTTCTGTGGTTTCATTTGTGGTGGAAGTAGGCGGGCCGCTATCAGGCCACTGGCCAGGTATGGGCTCATGTAGGGTTAGTTTTTAGTCATATTTTCACATTCATGATTCATTGATTCRTGTCATTGCATAAATAAAGGATATAAACTATAAACCTAGGATATGATTTGAGAGCCTAGATAGTTATAGATAAGAACATGATGAATTATATGAAACTCTGGTGGGGATATATCCCCATCACTCCCCTCCCCCATAATTACGCCACTGGCGCAGTAAGAACAATTTACCTAGAAAGTGCAGATAACATTTCAATTTTTACTTGTACTTTTAATAATTTAAAATTTAAATTACACCTGAATCAAAACATAAGTTAGTGGATGGTACATTTACGTATTAAGTACCTAATAAGTATACGCAACGACATTTGTTTTATAAAATATACACACTGCGCATGTTTGGTCTGTTTGGAAATAAAAATAAAAAACAATAAATCTTTCAATATTATTGTAAAACTGCTATTAATTCTAGCTTCTAATAGTCAGTGCCGTATAGAAACCGTGGCGCGGKCAGTTCATTGCATTGGGGCCCCACATTTCAATTTCTAATATGGGGTTCATATTTAAATAAAATAATATAAAAATTAA